CCCTCTAAACACCAATGTTTTATCAGACCCACTTTGCCGAGGCCGCAAACGCAGAAATATGTATTTTTTGACATAGAGTCCCGTTTTACGGAACAAAACGAGCACGCGGCGATACATATACACACCGTCACGTACGAAGGTCGACATTGGTGCGCCACGGGTCACGACTGCATAGCAAAGTTTTTTAAACGTTTTAGAAAAAACAGATACAAAAAGTATACATTTATCGCTCACAACAGCAGCGGTTATGATTCGTATTTTATGCTAAATTACCTAACAAAGAACAAAATAGTACCGCATCTCATTACTCAAGGAAATAAAATCTTATGCATGACCGATATTTTTTTCAAACAACGTTACATAGACAGTCTGAGCTTCTTCCAAACAAAACTGGCTGATTTACCCAAAAGTTTTGGTTTTGAAAATGAGAAAAAGGGTTATTTTCCTCATTATTTTCACACAAAAGATAATTTGTGTTATGTTGGACGTTACCCGAAACCTGATATGTACAGATATTCACAAATGGCTCCTACGGAGCGGACTGAATTTATAAACTGGTACGATTCTGTAAAAAACGGTGTGTTTAATTTAAAAAAGGAACTGTACCAATATTGTAAGAATGATGTGGTTATTTTAAGAAAAGCCTGCATGATATTCAGAGAACGAGTGCTGTCCATGGTCAACGTGGACCCGTTTCAACACATCACCATAGCCAGCGCCGCGCTAAGCCTGTACAGAACAAACTTTTTGCCGGATAGGTGTCTGGCCTTAACGGGGCCGCGTAATTTTATGAAAAAAAAGCAAAAGTTTTTCAAATTGCAGTATACAGTGGTTAGAGTTTGTCAAGTTCAAGGAGAACGTTTTTATCCAACACGCGCTGAACGTGGGGGAAAAGAAAGTCGGATCTATTTTTGTGGACGGGTTTTGCGAACGGACCAACACCGTGTTTGAATTTCTGGGCTGCGTGTTTCACGGGTGTCCGAAATGTTCGGACCCTAACGCCGAAAACCCTCTGACCGGTGAGTTACAAGGTGAACTTTATCAACGCACCATGGAACGGTTGGAATATCTGAAATCCTTGGGTTATAACGTTAGGATGATGTGGGAACATACGTGGATTAAGCTGAAAGCGGATAATGGGGAGCTAAAGACTTTTTTGAAAAGATGTGATTTTCCGGAGAAAATGAATCCGAGAGACGCTCTGTAAGGCGAACGGACCAACGCCATCCGTTTGCTGCACAAAACCGCCCCGGACGAAAAAATCCATTACTTGGACTTTACGAGTTTATATCCTTACTGCAACAAGCGTATGGCCTACCCCATTGGACACCCGACGGTGATTTTGACTGATTTTAAAGACATCAGAGAGTACTTTGGCATCGCCAGAGTCAAAATCTACCCCCAAGAAATCTTTTCCACCCCGTGTTGCCTTTTAGATGTGATAAACTAAACAAATTAGTTTTCACCCTTTGTAGAACCTGCGCGGAGGAGGAGGCCGAGGACGCGTGTCAACATTCGGAAGAAGAGAGAGCCATAACGGTGTTTATTGCACGGAGGAGATCAAAAGGAGTTTAAACCACGGCTACACGATCGGGAAAGTGTACGAGGTTTGGCACTTTGAACAAAAGGCCCATGATCTGTTCGCAGGATACATCGATTTACATTTGAAAAACAAGGTGGAAGCCAGCGGCTTCCCCCCGGGCGTGAACACCGACGCTGAGAAAAATGACTATTTGCTTAAGTTTAAGCGACACGAAGGTGTCGAACTGGATATGCCAAACATCGAATTTAACCCCGCTCAGAGGAGTATTAGCAAACTGTTTCTGAACGCTCTCTGGGGGAAATTTGGACAGAGAACGAATCGGATGAACACGGAATTAACAACGGAGCCTCGTGACTTTTTAGAACTGATGTTTTGCAAACATAAACGCATTTCTTATTTTACTTTTATTAACGACGACGTTGCTTTGGTTCAGTGGCAGTACGAAAAAGGATTATTTGCAAAAACCCGTGGTTTCTAACGTATTTGTAGCCGTTTTCACGGCGGCTTACAGACGATTAAAACTGTACGATGTGCTAGAAAAATTACAAAAGCGGGTGTTATATTTTGAAACGGATTCTGTCATGTTCATGGCGAAACCGGGGGAATACACTCCTCCCACGGGGTTTTATCTCGGTGATTTGTCGAATCAGCTAACGGATGGTGATTATATCAAGGAATTTGTGTCTACAGGACCCAAAAGCTATTGTTTCGTCACAGCCGACGGGCAAGTTTCTCTGAAGGTCAAGGGATTTACAGTTAATCCGGAGACTTCTAAAATTCTTCATTTTGATTCCTTTAAACGGCTGGTGGAGCAGCACGTTAGCACGGGGCTATCCGACACTCTGCTGACCGAGACCCGTTTAATTCAAAGAAACAAAAAACGCTTGGCTCTGCGGAACGTCAGAGCTCTGAAAAAAATTTCATTAATTTATAACAAGAGAATACTGAAATCCGACTTTACCACGGTGCCTTATGGATTTTGACGTCAGATTAAAGTTGCTGTTTACATGTATTTTGGCCGGACCGAGCCGTTCGGGGAAGACGTGCTTTGTGCAAAGACTTTTGGAATGTTCTTCCAAAACTCTCAACGAAATTATGGCAAAATTATGTGGTTTTATGAAAACTGGCAAAAAAGTTACGACGAACTACTGGAGCTTATGCCCGACGTGGTTTTCGTTCAAGGAGCACCGAGCAGCCTGCACGATTCTAAACTACAAGGAGGACGATCAGGAGAAGGAGGAGGAGGAGGAGGGGGAGGGGGTCCTCTGATCGTTCTGGACGATATGATGGACGTTATGAGTCAGTCGGTAGAATTAGAAAGGGCTTTCACGAGATATTCTCACCACAATAATCTTAGCGTGATATATTTGACGCAGAATCTATTTTATAGAGGAAAGAATTCTCGCACCTTTAGTTTAAACGCCTCCTACCTGATACTTTTTAAAAATCCTAGAGACAAGTTACACATTTCAATTTTGGCTAAACAAATGTATCCCGGACAATCGAAATATTTCCTGGAATCGTTCCAGGACGCTACGAGTAAACCTTTCGGTTATTTAATTGTGGATCTTAAAGCCGAAACGCCAGAAAGATTTAGGTTGCGGAGCGGGCTGTTACCCGGACAAGAATCTGTGGTGCACGTACCTAAAACATAGATTTTTTTTTAAAATGACGTCAGCCCGTTTAAGAAAAGCTCTCCCTTCTCCCTTTTAAGACATCTGGCTGACAAAAGTTATCCGTTTGGGCGCAAGCGTAAACTCATTCAGAAGGGGGGTTTTATCGGCCCGTTAATAGCCGCGGCCCTGCCTTTTGTGTTGCAAATGCCAACCCCCAGGCAGCAATGAACCACGCGCGAAAACTGTACCTAGTCTCTGCCGACCAATTGCAAAAACTCACACCCTCCTCCTCCTCCTCTAAAGGCGACATTAGGGAAAACAGCGAGAATGAACTGGAGCGGGAGATTAAATCCCTGTTGGAGAGAAAGGATTCATCCGCGGACACCAAACTGGATTTGTGTTCTCAACTTTTGCGGAAATATCTGACTCTGGTCAAACAAAAATCTTTGGAAAAAAAAGAACTGACTTTAAGTTTACCTCCTCCTCCTAAAGAAGAAGAAGAAGAAAAACGAGAAAGTAAAACACCGGACGGCTTCTCCACAAAGGTGCTGGAACACTTGCCCGCTCGTTCGAGAAACAAAGCCCGGCTGATTATGGACGCGCTGGAAAACGCGTGGACGGCTCGCGGCGAATTCGTGTACAGAGGGGATGTCGTGGAAGGGAGTCATATATTTGATTTGTTAAAAACGGCAACCTCTTATCAGAAGCTGAATTACAAACCCGTCGGGTGGAGCAGTTTCCTTCGCAGCTTGGCGGACGCCAACGTTCCTTCGGGGGCCTTGGGGAATTCTTCTGTAAGGCGAGAGATGGAAAAATACAAACACATCAAAGGGTCCGTTGATGATTCTTTAACGTTTAGCACGCCTGCGAGTACGCCCTCGCGGGTTAAAAAAAGAGAAATAGAAAAACACACTTTGAACCTCCAGGGTGGATGTCGTATTAAAAATGTTTTCATTCGTATGCTTAAATAACCACATCATTTATATCTGAATCAAAGTACATTTTATATTTTTTATAATCGTGTCATTTTTTAAACCAACGGATAATGTGAATGTTTGAATCTTTTTTTTTATATTTTTATTAAAACCAAAATGTTTTCATTCGTATGCTTAAATAACCACATCGTTTATATCTGATTCAAAGTACATTTTATGCTTTTGTTTTTTTTCATTAAAACATAGTCTCATATTTTTCAACTCTTTTAATATGTTTTTTCTTGTGTGTGTTTGAATAAAGTAAACATTTTTTTTAAAGCGTAGCAATTTTATTGAAATATATAATCACACAGACGTTAAAAGATAATTTTGTAATCATTTATTGATAAAATCACAACGGTAAACACAACTTTGCACGCCGTGTACAATATGACAGTAAGAATCTATCCGCAGCAAACTTTTTACATATTTTTTAACAGAGCGATCATTTTCTCGTAAATCGGTGGAATAAGAATTTAGAACCTGAGAAAACGTAAGACCCTTCATATGCTGTTTTAGAAAATACACGCAATGATGCCCGCAGGCGTCCGACCTATGGTCTTGAACTTGTCTAGCGTTACACAAAACTCGTCGTGAATTATTTTTTAGAAAAAGCATGATGTAACTGGGGAAAAATTCAGAGTCCGGCGGAAACCCGTAGGAATCAAAAAACTCTGCATTTCCATCTGACAGTATTAAAACAGACAACCAGTGTTCTCCAGGCCGGGTGTGAGGATGTGTATTGATAACAAAACAGGACGGAGGTGTGTGTTTTAACACCCGAGGTATTTGATTGCAGGGGAATACGCCTCTGAAACCGAGGGTGCATCGCATGGCTTTAGCGATCTGTCTGGTGTCCATTTTTTTTCAAAAATAGTCCATAAGCACTTCACGTTTGTGATTAATTTCTAACACGTTGTCAAAAACCGCAAACACGATGATGTTTATGGTGTTGGGCAAAGGCGCTCGAAACCGGAGGTCCAGCCTGACGTGCCCCGACTGTATTAAGGAAACGTGTTCGCCCGAGCTTTCGTCGGGGGTCAAGTTGAACGCGAATAAACAGTAGCCCCGAGAAAAATCTTCACGAGAGATGGCCAAAGGCTGGTCCCTCAACCCTCTGACCGTAGCCTCGACCAGGCTGAAGTATTCTCTCAGGCAGCGCTGCCTAGGAAAAAGGGGTTGAAAAGGCGTGGACGGGTAGGACACACCGTCCACGCTGAGATTTAAAGATTCCACGTCGTAATGATGAAAATTAAAAGGATTTCGCGCATAAGATCCGCTGAAAGCTTCGTTATGAACAAAACCTATAGCAATGAATTTTGGCACTTGGCCCAAAAATAGATTATCCTGGTTTGACACGCGACCCCCCGCAGGCACGCTTAACACTTTCACGTTAACTCGTTCTAACGGGTACCTCGCGTTAGACTGAAGCAAAGCTGACGCGTGATCCAGTTTCACACTGGGTGACACGTGTATTCTTTTCACGTACAAAAGGGCTGATAAAATGTGAAGTTTATAGCCCGGGTTCGGATCCGATGACATTAAAACAAACTCGTTTTTATTACGAACTAACTTGATTCTCACGTCGACGGAATTTAAAAGAAGCTTTTCCTGAAATGCAAAGTCGTTATGCAAATGTCCCATTAATTCGAACGTTCGGCTCCTTTCGCAATAAGCGCTTCGCCACGTTAATCCCTCATTGTCTCTGTTCGGGTCAGCTTCGTCCATGCGCCCCGCCGTGTCTTTGCGAAACAGCCCCGCTGCGAATTGCGAATTCAGAGTAGGTTCGGAATAGTTAAGCAAACACTCCAGAACGGCCCTGTAGGCGTACGTCGAACCGCTTTGAGAAATGAGCTTATCGCCGAGGGACAGGTCGACTTGGCTAAAAAGAGTGGCCGCGGGGGAATTGATCAAACCTACGGCCGCGCCGGCCGCCAGATCGGTTCCGTCCGCGTTGGTAACTTTGCACGTGAGGTACAAAAGCGAACGGTTCAGATCGACGTAGGTGTCCCCCGACCCGCTATAAAAATTCAAGGGGTCCGTTATCGGTAATGGCCGTGATCGGTGGCGTTTCTACATATTTGTAGGATTCTATACTGTGTTGCGTCATAGGGATCGTAAATAGGTCCAGCTCGGACTTCATGCATTCCGCCGAGGCGCTGTGTATGAGAGACATCTTTTAAAATATGCCGGGACCCGCACCGGTTTTCCGCTCGCTCTTTTTTTTCTTCTTATTCCTTAAACGAGAGGCGCGGACGAGCGCACCCGCCAGCTTCCTGTTCAGACTGAGGCCTTTTGAAAAAACGCTTTTATTTTAAAAGGTACGGAACCGCGACGCCCCGGCGGGCGCATGCGTCGATTCGCGCGGCTCAAAACCACCAGGCCTTCGCCCTCCTGCCGCCTTTCCGACGCGTTTCCCAGTAATTTCCCCGCCGCTGGAAACCACGTCTTTCGCGATATTTTTAGCAGCGGTCTTGAGGTGCTGTCTGACCAAGTTGAAGCCCGATTTTAGCAGAGGCACCGCCAGTCTAAACAAACCCCGAAAAACGTTGCCGATCCCTCTTCCGTACTGCACGGGCGCTCCGCTGAAACCTTCTAAACCGGACCCCGCCTGTCGCGTATAGTAGAGGACGTAGGGGCTAGGGTCGGCGTGATAAGCAGACATTTTTTATCGGATCGGTCTAAAATGTAGCTTCACGATCACTTTTCCAAATTCGAATTTGACGTTTCGGTTTTGATCCGTCTTTAACTCTATTAAAATTTCATCAAACACGTGTTTGCTGACTGGGTTGTAGTGCACCTTGTCAAAGTTTAGCGTGACGAAATCCAGATGCGCTTTGGGTATTTGAACGGTTCGCAAAAGAGGTGCTAAGGTATCGGCTACAATCTGATGCGAAGAAATATCCGAATAAAGAAACAAATAAAACGTTCCGCCTTTAATATGGGCAGGGAATTTAGTTTCGGTCGGGTCAGTCCACTTCTGTTCCTCGATGCCCAGAATGTGCGCCAACTGTCCGTGCGTTCGAATCCGAATAGGCCATCTGTTCAGCGAGGTCAGTCGTATAATCTCCTCCGGTGTGACCCCTAATTTTACCCGTCTCGTGACCTTATCCAAATATAATTCGACGTGGGTTTTGGTGGTTCTAAAATATTTGTTCATTTCGGTCAAAATGTCAGCGATGTAAGTATAATAACCGCATTTTACTTTAAAAGACACCTGTTTACCGAGATCCGGCCCTTCACACACCCAAAAGTCCGTTTCCTGTCGCCCGCCGTCCGCCAGCGTGTACCAACTCTGGGGAAATTAAATTTCTGCTAAGCCGACCTCCCAACCGCCCCTGAGGTGAACGGTTTTGGCTAACTTCACCCTGTAGCTGGATATATCGTGTTGAGGGTATAATTTGTCGCTAGCGTTACTCGGCAGAGTGATGAAAAAATCTCTGGTTTCTTCCATGGTGGGGTGGTCCGCGCTTCCGAATAGGGGCTCGCGCCGCTCTCTCACGGGGTTTTTATCGAGCGTCCAGGATAGAATTTTCGTTTCCCCAGGAGTCAAATTTTTTATCCCAACCTTTCCATCTCACCTTAACGAGAACCTCGGATTTAGTTTTTTTCCTAGCCAGTATTTTTTCTACACGATAGACTTTATTTTCAGGTACAATCATTTTCTGCATTTCTTCTGCATAAAAAGAACCTTCTATTATTTCATTATCGAGGTCTTTTAGTTTATACATCGGCGGGTCTCGTTTAATAATTTTATCCACAAAAAAATATTCATCCGTGAAAGACTGTTCGTAACCTTTCGCGAAGACCCTGCGCTCTTTCGAAATCCGAACCGCGTCACCTATTTTAAACTTGGGTCGGGGTAATTCCCCTTTCATTCTTTTCCCGTACAGATGATGAAACACCTTTATCTGATCGCACTCGTTCACTTCTTCGGGACGCATTTTAATAGATCTGTGAAAAGCGCGATTGTAAGCGCTCACTAGTTCCTGAAGCACATCTAAATATCTCAAGGTGTTAAAACCTGTAAAATATCTGAACATCCGCGTTTTGAGGGTTTTGTTAAATTGCTCCACCACAGCTGCTTTCAATTCGCTAGCCGTAGTAAAATGTCTTATTTTATATTTGTTTAAAAGTTTTTAAAATAAATGATTACAAAATTCTCGCCCCTTGTCACTTTGAAGAGTGACGGGTTTTCTACCTCGTTACGCTCTTGGCGTTCTTATTTTCCAACGCCTCCACCCACGCGTATTTTGAAAACACATCTATGCAGGTTAGAATAAACTTTTTCCCATCGTTGTGTTCCGATAGAGAGGATAAATCTGCCAAGTCTAACTGCCATTGTGAATCTTTTTCGCACGCTAGTACGAAACTCCTTTTAAAGTTTATTCTTCGGGGTTTGTGTAGCGTGTAAGTGTCTGGACTTTGTAAAAACCTATCAATTTCATCTTTATTTTTATTAGCCAACCCCACCTCCCTTACGCTTTTGATAAAGGGCTCCCTACCACACAGACCGCCTTCTGACCCGGGTTTATGGTACAACTCTTGCAGCGCCGTCTGAGACATGTCCAAATGGTCGAGGTGTGAAACACGTCAGCGTTTTTATATTTTCTTCTGGGTAAAACACCCTGGGTATGGTTTTTTATTTTTTTTGTTTAAAGGTTTTTATGTGTTTTTTTTTTGTTATAAACGGTTTATTTCTTTTAAAAAAATTTTTGGTTGTTAGTATCTAATCTACTGACAAACCGTTAGTTTGAGATATAGGTAAATTAGTTTCAAACTAAACGTGATGAACACTGAAGTATAAAATATGAAAATAAAAATGATTACACTATTAAATATATGAAAATGAAAAATGATTACACTTAAAATATGCAAAGAAAAATGGTTACATGATTTAAAATATTAAAAAAATATTAAAATGATTACACTTAAATTATGAAAAGAAAAATGGTTACATGATTTTAAATATTAAAAAAATATTAAAATGATTACACTTAAAATATGAAAAGAAAAATGGTTACATAATTTAAAAAATTAAAATGATTACACTTAAAAATATTAAAATGATTACACTATTAAATATATGAAAATGAAAAATGATTACACTATTAAACATAGGAAAATAAAAAATGGTTACATGATTTAAAATATTAAAAAATTAAAATGATTACATGATTAAAATATTAAATGAAAATGATTACATGGTTTAAAATATTAAAATGAAAAGACTATACAGTTTATCTAATAAACATGCACAAAAGGGTTCAAAAAATATGTAAACTACTAGCAGCGATCAAAAGATGTCATAAAGGTGCTATAAACAATTACACAAACTCAAACGACTAAAATATTAAATGATAAACGTGGTGTTTTTTAATAAAACAAAAAGGTCCCAGTTTTTTCTAATAATAACAATGTTTATGGTTTGTCTAATAAAAAAAAAATATACAGTGTATAAACTTACTAGCAGCAAAAAAACATCGGTGTCATAAATGTCTTATGTACAAATACACAATCTCTCTCTCTCTCGCGAATCACTACACCGATCTGTCATCCTCAGACCCCATCAGAATTTTACACACGTCGGCGGCCGTTGATTCCGCAGCGCTGTTCAGAGGTTCATCCGGCCGCAGGTAGAACCGGCTCAGAATTTCGGACGGATCTCTGCTCAGGTACTCGGACAGCGGGTTATATTCACTCAATTTTTCCTGCGTCAGCGTGTAAATTTTACGCAAAATGTTTATTACAAAACCATCATGAGGTTCTTTTAATTCAAAGCGTTGCTTTAGGGACTCTTTTATTTCCAATTCACAAGCGGGAATGAGATTCAGCCACTTCTGCTTTAACTCGTTGTCCAGAAATCTTACTGGGACGCCTTCCACGCAACTGTGCTGTTTCTGTGATGGGTGTTCAATTTGACACCCACAGCAATCTCTCGTAACCCACTGACGAACAGCCAGGATGATCGCTCTTGCCCAAAGAAATTCCACAATTTTCGTGGCTCGGTCCTTCAGACTGAGGTCCGAAGGCTTCTCGCTCTGACTTTCCGAGCTGGCGCCGGCGTCAAGAGGTTCCTCGCATTGACCTTTTGACCCCGTTCCTGAGAAAGCGCTCGCGTTCTCTCTCTCACGCTGCTCCATGTCAGCCGGCGAAGAAGGTCGGCTTTGTAAGCCGTCCTCGTCCACCACGATAAATTCATCGCTGTCCAGATCGGTCACGCCGGAGACTTCCTCTTCCTCTTCTTCTACCTCGCTGGCGCTGGTCGAATCTGAAATGTCATTTTCACATTTTTTTTACGTTCCACGAGGTCTAGATCAGAACTCTCTTCATCGTGCTCTGGCTGGTGAGTGGGGGAACACCCCCAATCTCTCCCGCTGGGTATGTCCTCGCACATGCGCATCGCTGTTTTGTCATCTTGGTATTTAGACATCAGACTCGTCGGGCGCGGAATATGACAGCTGTCGCAACCGCATATTACGCTGGCTGGTGATAGAGAGAGAAAATCGTTAAAAAGTTTAACGGGCTCGTACATGCTTACTCTTCGGCCACACGCTGCAACTTGAAACGGTATAACCCTTTTCACGGCTTATATTCACAAACTACGGTACCTCAAACGGTCAAAATGAATTCTTAAGAAAAAAAGCGTTTTTCTTACCTGTGGTAAGAAAAAGGGGTCTTGAGCCCTGTGATGGTCAGGGTGATTTGACGCAAATAATGCGCGGATCTGACCTTCAGTGTGATTGTGGCTGACCTGGACAGTTCGGTCTTGTGTTTTGTGTCGCGAACCATGCATGACCTGTTTCTGGCCTGTAAGATCATAGCATGCAATTCCCCCACTTCATTCGTTTTCGGGACGGTCTGGTTTAACAGGTACAACTCCTTTTCAGAAATGGAGACTTCAGTCGGCTTGTCACTGTGAAACAGTCTGCTCTGACGGAAAACGATGTAGCGATTGTTCAGCCGGGTTTCTTTCGGCAAAATTGTCAAATACGTCATCGAAAGACATCTCCTCTTTATGCTCGGTTTAAACAGACTGTCGTCCGCTCTGAATCTGTCGATTTCCTGCTTTTTCTTCTGCGAAGGTGTAACATCGTTTTCTTCCCGAATCGAACGGGGCCAGCAGTGTTTAGGTATGTCATTGCGAACGAAGGCCTTCCTCGCGCTCAAAATTTGACTGGTCGTCAGGGGTTGCTCCTTCAGTTTCAGTCGTTTTAGGCTGTTTGGCCACACGAAATAAGGTATTCCACGCTTTTGTAAGTTGTCCCGAATGAATGTGCGATAGCGCCATTTGCTCAAGGAATTCAAGATCGGAGATCCGACTTGAGCCTTAGACGATCTGTCTGGAGAATCCATGACGATGGTTTTGCAGAAAAGTCACTCTCCGCACCAATCTGTCTCTTTTACGGCCAGTTTTTATAGTATTGTGAGGAGAAAAACACCACGACACCTGTTCAATTATTAGTCACGCTTAGCAGAACGGGGCCCCCCACTTGCTACTGTCACTCAAAAACACAACAACAACAACTACGTCATACCATTACATCCTGGGATTTTTTTTTTTTTCCCAAAACACATCCTGGGAATCTTTTTTTCCAAAACACATCCTGGGAATCTTTTGAAAATTATTCCCACGCATCATACCGGGCAAACCTCGGGTAGTTA